ACATGCCAGGAGTGTGGAGGATCATAATGAGGACCAGCCACTAGAGAAAGAAGTTCTCTGGTGGCTGTTTGACCAAAGAGAAAGAAGCACATGAAATATTCCCTAAGAAAATTAGGTAAGTTGTTTTTGTGTTAATATTTTCACAATGTGAAGTGGGGTGGGACGGGCCAGGTAAGTGTGGAAGGCGGAGCAGGAATCAACATTCACCAGTTGAGTTAATAAGTTACGTTTTAGACAGCTAAAAACTGGTGTTAAATCTATTTATTTATTAATAAGCTTCTTGCAAACAATCATAAGTCAGATTATCTGGTTAGAAATAATTTAGAATGCTCATTAAGTAAAAAGATGCACTGATGTGCCTAAAACTATACATTAAATGATGGAATCTGAATAACAACAGTGGCAGTCTGTCTGAACTTCTGCCAGACAAATATTTGATCAGAATAATTTTGTTCAGCTCCAGTTATTATGCTACTTGTATTAAGAAATAATTGTATTGCACCTTATAACAACCAGTCATGTTAGCTAGACATTTGTCTGCCAGTCTATCATTCTAACAGTGTGCAGAAAAGAGCATTTTTGGAATGGCATTTAAATAAATGCTGAATTATGATATTGTTTTTTGTTTTTGTTCTTTTTTTAAGTGACCACAATGAATTGAGTCATCACTAGGGTTACCACCTTTCAGAAATCAAAATAAGAGACGCCCACTAATGCGCGTCATCCTAGTCTCATAAGCGGTGGGGGGGATGCGCTTTGACTAGGGTTACCAAGGGACCAGTCCCTATATATTTAAAGCCAGGGGTGGGGGGGAGGGGAACTGCAGCGGCAGCATGTCAGTTAGTGTGTGTTACCCAGAAAGCAGTTGGGCACAATATCACAACACCAACACCGTGAGTGAAACAATGGCTGGGGCAGCCATTGTTATTTATATATGTCATACTTTATATGACGTATATAAAGTACTTGGGGACCGCTTCTTTATTATTACACATCCACATTTGTAGAATACGAAACAATTCGGAACATTTAACAGCGAAATGTCCAGAAGAGATTCACTAAGTTTGAATTCATGAAAAGGCTTTCCATGATTAACTATTGCAAGAACAGCTGTAATTTCTGGACACCTTCAAAGAGCTGCTTCATTTCTGGGAAATGAAGACAAGAAGAAGATCTCCTGTTTTTAGAGCATTACAGGAAGGCTATAACGAAGGAGATGACTGACATAATCAAAGTAAAAAATGTTACTGTTGAAAGAACCTATTTTATTAAGTTAAAGAATAAGTAATTCTGTTTTAGTTTTTCAATCAGTATTTCAGAGTAACAATATGCTGACCAGACGTTAAACCTTCTGTTATCTTAGAACAAGTTATCTTTTGTTTTATTCCAATGTACAAAGGGTTTGTTCTACAGCTATGATGGTAGTTATAAGTTCTCCAGTGTGTTTCACTTCACTTGAGGTAAGACTTAATATCTATGACTCTGTTAGCATAGCATTTGACACTGTAATAACACTAAATTACATCTTTATAATTGTTGCCACTTGTTTCACTTTACTTGAGGGAAGAGATAATATTAATGACACTGTAATGACACTCAGTGACATCTTCATAACTGTTGCTACTTATTTCAATTTACTTGAGTTAAGAGTTAATATTAATGACGCTGTAGTGACACTTAATGACATCTTCATAACTATTGCTACTTGTTTCACTTTAGTTGAGGTAAAAGTTAATATTAATGACACTTAATGACATTTTCATGAGTGTTGTTACTTGTTCCACTTTACTTAATGACACTTTAATAACACTTAATGACATCTTCATAACTGTTGCTACTTGTTTCACTTTTAATATCATCTCTTACCTCAAGTAAGAGATAATATTAACAACACTATAACAACACTTAATGACTCTGTTGTTAAATCATTTGACAGTGTAATAAAGCTTAATGAAATCTTTATTGCTTGTCATACTTGTTTTGCTTTATTTCAGGGAGTGGAAATATTAATCAGTGTTTTGTTAAAGCTTTTGCTAGTGTAATAATTAAATCATTATGACTATTATTATGACAAATTTATGTTAGATCATGATTTCTTGGTTAATGACAAGTTGTCATAACAAAGACAATTTTGTCTAGGTTAATGAGAAGTTGTCATAACAAAGACATTTTGAATAAAGTCAACCTTGTATTAAAAGTGTCATGATATACTGAATGACACTTTATGACAACAGTCATAAATATTCATGAAGGCTTATTGATGTTCATGACAGGTGTTATGTCATGTTTATGACAGTGTCATGTCAGTCTTATTCACACCCCTTCAAATAAAGTGTTACCTATTTAACTTATTAACTTACCATGTTATAAGTAAATTACCATGTTACAAATAGAACTAGAACTTTTTCATCAATATTAAGGAATTATTGGCTTAAAACAAGCTCTTATTTCTGGTTGAAAAGTTACTTGTAAGTTTGTTTTTACACTAGAAACTAGAAAACAATACTTGGTAAGATTTTCTGTTTTTGCAGTGCAAACCTCACCTCTGAGTTCACGTGAGTCCGTCTCACCTTTAAAAATAAATTACTTTTATTTTAGTTTGATTTAAATTCAAACAGCAGCTTAATTTCTATCGATTATATAAGTGGAATTACGAAATAAATTTGCTTAATTGAGACACGCTAGCTTTTAATTAACTTGTTTTTTGATAAGTTTTGATTATGAGATGAGGCAGGCTTTTTTGCTGTATCAAAATTAGCAAAACTGCAAAAAAACACTTTTTTCACATCACACAAGTCACATGATCAACAATAGGATGTTACTACTTTGTTGGAAATGACAAAGAAGAAAACAGGAAGTAGCTGGAAGATGATGGCACTGCTTGTTTTTATTGACTTATTTTGTGAACAAACTTATTCACATATAATTTTACTTGCATTTCTTATTTAAATGCCTTGCCTAACACCCCATTATGTGCCAGCAGAGGAAGCTGAAATCAAATGCACAACTCTCTGATTGTCAAGAGCATCAAGAATGAAACATTCAAATTATATTCCCCTACTGCAAGATTTTCAGTATACATCAGTGTGTGCCTGTTTGCATTCAGCATGTGCCGACATGAATGTTTGTGTCCTGTAGAGGCAGGAGGACCAGGTGAACCTGGAGGTGTCGCTCAGGCCCCAACTTGTTAGACAATTTACATTTTTCATTGAAATCCCTCGACAGTCATGCTCCCACATCAGCATGGGCAAGGGGAGCAGTCATACTGTAATCAGGAAGTTGTGGGTTCAATTCCAGTGTGGTTTGCCATCCAGCGTCTCAGGAGGGGAAAGCAGAACAGCATCTGGGAAGAGGGAAGTCTGGGTCTCCTTACTTATGCTGTGACCTGACTCTGGATAAGCAGAAGAAAATCTACTATTAAAACAATTTATTTTAAAAGATGTTTATGCATGTTTGTATATGAAAGTAGATATGTTATTGAACATGCATGTGCTTTATGTATGAGTATCATACATGTAGAGTACACTTTAAATGAAGGAATTTTTTTTAATGCAAAAGGAATCTAAAACATCTAATCTTAAAGTCTGTCTCTCTTTAAAACTGACTGAAAATAGAATGTGTAATCATCTGTATTATGATTTTTGGAAAATATAATCTATCTTTATAATTCAACTGACCCCAGGAAGAATAGTTGATGCAGCATGCTGCTGATGCTAATGGGGATATTAATAAACAAACATACTGACTTTGCAGCAATCCCTCCTGATCAAGGATTAATGAAACAAACGGCAGCAGACCATAGCCCAACCACTGGGGGTTACACTGCCCCAAACTGCTTCACATCTCGAGTTTCTGGACACAAGATGTGAGCAGTAAGCAGTTTATATAAATCGGATAAAAATAGCAACAAACACAAAGTAAACTTGTCTTAACTGTATTTATGCAAACATTGTGCTAACTTATTTACACTTATTTCCAGCCACAGCCTTTATAGATTTATAACTTTAGTTTCTTAGTTATCTATATGTGTTTTCCATATATAAGAACTAACCATACTCCTAGATATTTAAATTCTTTAATCCTTTCCAAAGGCTGTCCATATAATGTATTATTCCTGTATCAATATTTCTCTTATTTGTAACAACCATAAAACAAGACTTGCTTGCTAATAATTTAAAACCCCATTCATAAGGCCAGTTTTCTACTTTATCAATTGCCTTCTTAATATTTCCTACTACATGTTTTATATTCTTTCCCCTCATCCATATGGCCCCATCATCTGCATACAGTGCAGAATTTATAGATTTATCGGTATCAGTCAGAAAAAATATCATTAATCATTATATTAAATAAGATTGGACTAATGGGATACCTCAGTACCTTGAGGTATCCCATTTTCCACATTAAACTCTTTTGAATAATAGTTCCCAATCTTAACTCTTATTTTTCTATCCAGCAAAAAATTTGCTATCCAATTATACATCTTTCCACTAATTCCCATCTGATTAATTTTTATAAGTAGTCCTTCTCTCCACAATGAATCATATGCTTTTTCAATATCAAAAAATACTATAATCATTACCTCCTTCATTTTTAAAGTTTTCTCTATGTTATTACTTACTCTAGTTAAAGCATCCATTGTTGATCTCCCTGTTCTAAAGCCACGCTGGTATCCATTCATTAGTTTCTTATGTTCAAGAATGTATCCTAATCTACTGTCTATTATGTTCTCCATCCATTTACTTAAATGAGAAGCTAAAGCTATTGGCATATAATTATTTGGACTGATAGGATCTTTCCCTGGTTTATTAAATGAAAGTATTATTGCCCTTTTCCAGCTATTTGGTATTAAACCTTCATTTCCATATTTTATTAAATAATTTTAATATTAATTTCAATGTTACTTCTGGAATCTGTCAAAACACAGCATAACATAATTGATCCTCTCCTGGAGCTGAGTATCCTGTCCCTTTCAGTACTGTTTTCATTTCTTTCATGGTTATATTCATGTCTAATATTGACATGCATTCTTGACATTTTTCCAGAATACTTTTATAATTTCCCAGTTTTTGTATTTTCTGCTGTCTGTGAATGTCTGTCAGATGTTCACCACTGTGAACTGCAGCAAATGTCTCCCCTAATAGATCTGCCTTGTCTTTGTTTAAAACTAGTATTTCCTGTCCTCGGACTAAGGCTGGCATTTTAACTTCATTCATTTTCCCCGTCATTTTCCTAAACATTGACCAAACGTTCTGCAATTTTATTTCTGAACCTATTGAGGAACAATATTCTCTCCATGTTTTCTTTTTTAGCTTCTTTAATAATGTTGTGAATCATTGCTCTTTTCTTTTTATATTCAATAAGGTTTTCGGTTGTTAAATTTTCTGTAATATTTAAATGCCTTGTTACGTTCTTTAATTGCTCTGCTGCATTCATCATTCTACCAAGGAACTACTTTTTTCTTACCTTTTAACTTTTATTTATGGGATACTAGAATTTGCAGCATTAAAATGTGTTCTGTTAGCTGTTTTGTACATTCTTCAATGTTGCCTTTTAATGTAACCATATGGCTGGTTTTCTCACAATTTATTTAAAATTTTTGCCAATTAGCTTTAATGAAACGCCATCTTGTTAATATGAGATGTCATTAATTATTGTACTCACTGGAAAGTGATCACTCCCTAATGTAGTTGTAATGCAATGTAATATTAATATCCCATTCACATGAACTAACAAGACAGTTATTAATGTAACATCTAAACATGAAACTGTACTCTTATGTATATTTACTCTTGTACCTTTTCCATTATTAAGACAAACTAATGATCTTTCATCCATCATTTCTTCAACTATGATACCATTATGATCTGTCTTTTTGCTACCCCACAGACTATTATGTGCGTTAAAATCACCACACCATAATTCTCTTCTATGTGTTTCTCCTGCTACTTCTTTAAACATTTCACTATCGAGATTTTCACAAGGATTATAGTAGTTTATAATTTTAATATTTCCATGCTTTCTTAAGTTAAATATTTCTATATTAACACATTCTATTTCTTTATTTGTTATGTTTTTCTTATAAGCTATTCCATCCTTAATTAAAGTGGCACATCCACCTCCACTACCATTACTTCTATCCTGTCTTTCTATACTATATCCAGGGATTTTAAATTCTAGATTAGATTTTAACCAAGTTTCTTGAATACATATTATATCTGGGGTTGTTTCAAAATCATATATAAACTTTTTAAGTTCCTGCCCATTGGCAATTAAACTTCTAGCATTCCATTGAAGAATGTGAAGAACCATTATAAAAGTTTGTATCCTAATCCTGGACATTTTCTGTTGTTTCAGTGGCACTCAAAATGATATGAATCTGATCTGCTTGGATTTCTTTCATATCTAAAAATCTTCCTGCTGCTGTTACGATTGCTTTTATTTTATCACTTTTCTTCTTCATTTGTACTGTAACATTGATAATATGGCACATAAATGCTACAGTTTTCTTTTTTCACCACCATTGAATTTTCATCCACACTACATTTATGCGAGCATGCGTTTTGTATTTTTGTTGTTGGTACCAAGATTTGTCTATAATCATTCTGCCCTTGATTTGAATTCCAAGTTGTTTCTTTGACCTATTTCTCCCAACCTCATTTCTCTTGAATTATCTTTCCTTACTCTTTTTAAAGCTTCAGCATATGAAACTCTGTTATTTTGATTCTTTGAGCTTGTTTGGTTTCCCTTTGCGTTTTACATCCACCATATGCTGCACTATGATCTCCTCCGCAGTTACATTTGATTTTAGCATCTTTATCGGACTTTCCAAATTCATGTGGACCTCCACATCTTGCACACCTAAGTTTTCCTTTGCAATCCTTTGCAATGTGTCCCATTCTTTGGCAAGTAAAACATCTGAGGGGTTTGGGGATGTACTCTCTAACTCTGTAGTTCATGTATCCTAGCTGGATATTTTCTGGGATAACATTTTCAAATTGTAAAATCACTGCCATTGTGTCTTTAAGTTCCCCATCTCTTTTACTTTTAATCCTGGCGGCATCTGTTATTTTCCCTCCTTTGATTTCTTTTTTCAAATCCTCCATTGTCATTTCCATTGGAACTCCTGATATTACTCCTCTCAGCCTTGCTAAAGATCCTGGAATATATGTTTTAATTCCCCCCCCCCGTCAAGTTTTTCATTCTGATTATCTTTTGTTGTTGTGTTTCACTGATAGCATATATTAGCACTCTTCTGTTATTCAAAATTCTGGTCGTTTTAATTTTCCCTATTTCTTCCTCTATTGCTTTGGTCAACTTTATCAGGTGGATAGATCCTCCTTGCTTGAATTCCACTATGACTTTAAATTCCACTTCTCTAGTAAAGCCATTCTGTTCTCGTGAACTCGCCCTGTCATTTGTTTTTGTCTTTTTGTTAGCTTCTTCTCTTGCTTCACTTTCTTCCAAACAACTTCTTGCCCTTTCTTGTCTCTTCCTAAGTGCTCTTTTCATTCTTGCTGATCTTGATATCATCCATTCTATCTCATTTCTACCATTTCCTCCTGATGTAGAAGCCATGTTGCTACAGTCAATGTACAGTTTATGCAATCCGCCAAAATCAAATCCTATCGCCTTCGTTTGGTTATGTTCACTCGCTTGTCCTTCTGCCTCCCCTAGTCTGAACTCGCATTGTGAAGATAGTGATTTACCAGCTGTCTATCCCAATCAATGCCACAGAAACACCTTAGTGCAGTTGGTCTCCCCACCTTCATCAAATCTAACAAAATTGGAGTCAAACATTTGTGGAGGAAAACTTTTAGTTTAATATCAGTTTAAGATATTAATGTTTACAGAGGTCATGAAAGGTCAACCAGCCACACAGACAAATTTGTTGTTAATCAACTCAGCTATATTTATGCAGCAACATTTTTTGTTGTGCTGCTTTATTATATTTGAAAAGATGACTGCAGAGTTTTGGTTTGCAGTGTTCATGTTTGTGTTCCTGCACTGCAAGGAATAGTATTTTACATGCTTGTTTATCTACAACCCTTCAGTTAATTTCAGTCCAAATCAAGAAAGTATGAGAATAACCAGCAAGAGTGAAAACTAAATGTGAATGCTTTAAACATGTCATTCTGTATCCATAAACATTTTTCCTCCCTTGCATGGTGGTGATATCATGAAGATCTTGAACATATGTTGTAAATTCAGTTTTCCTTCTTTTCCAAAACTTTAGAAAAAGAAATTTCACATCAGATTGTATTTACCTAGTGTTGTTCATAATGAAGATAACAGTAGAATGCTGATAAAACTGAAAACCTCATCTTGTCCTGGGGACATTTTTGAAGATCCTCTCATTAGTGCAGTAAATCTGCCCCAATGTAGTAAACCAAACTCAACATTCTGGTTAAAAATATTACAAATGGCAATTCCAAATAAAAGAACGTTTGCTCAATAAAGAGCTTTTTATACTGCTTAATCCTGGACAAAGTAAGCCAACAACTCAAAACCATCTGAACATTATGATGGCCAAACCACTTTGGAACTGATTCTTAGTTTGAGGCTGATGAGCAGAAACAAGCAGGCACCATTAGAAGAAAAAACAAATATCTGTAATTGAACATTCTGGAATTTTTTTTTACATTAAATTCAGATTACAAAAATCGACAATTACACGATTTTACATAGCTGGAAAAGTAGCAAACACAGATGTGCTGTCTTTTGGAAATATGTTCATTTCCATTCCCCCCTTTACTTCCTAGGTTTCTCTTTCTGATGTACTGCTGTTATTTTCATTGGTACTGTCCATTTCCACTTTTAGTTTAGGTACGGGCTCAGTCCCCACACCCCATCCCTCAAAACCAGTAACTGGTCCTCAGTTCTTCTTGGCTTTTGGCGAGTCATATTTCCTCTTACTGGAGTACCAGAGGAGTAGAGGGATTCCGATAGAAGGCAGAGTCATCACACCAAAGGCAGCCCAGTCCAGCTAAAAGAAGCATAAATCAAACAAGATAAATACAAACAAAATATGTTGCATAAAATCGCAAAGAAATAAAATGACCAGTATATTTTCTAACAAGGAAAGAATTCCAGTCCAGCTTACATAGTGAGGAGAGAAACGCCGATCAAATTCCCTCTGGGCCAAGATGCCCCCCTGGCCAGGGGCACTGGTGTAACCCACCTTCAAAAATAAACAACCAAATAAATAAAACTCATATTCAAATTAGCTTTTTTAACCATACCACACCACAAAGACATCTGATCTTACCACAACCTGTCCTCCTTCCTGGGCTACGTAGCTGACAGAAGCTGAGGTGAAGTTAAAGTACCCTGCCTTTAGGGGGCGCAACACCACCGTATGAGACACGTTGCTAGCTCTGATTTCTGTAGTTAAATTGAAAACTGACATAATGAAAAGAACATCCATGCCTTTTACACCACAAACCTCTCTGAAACATGTAAGGACAGATAAAAAATGGGCAAACATTTTTTCTACATGGTAATGCTGTCTTCTGTAGTTTACTCATGGTCGACCCACCCTGAACATATTTGGTAAAGGATGAATGGCAGAAAACCACTCAGTTACAAAGTGACTTAGAACTTATTTTGAAGGCAGACATGTTTTGTTTTCTTTAATGTATCTGTTACACCTGGTGATAAACATAATCATTAAACTCACTTCAAAATGTCACTGGTGTAAAAGTACTTCCCATATGCCGTAAAACCAAGCAAAGCATTTTAATGGCTTTTTCAAACATCCAAGTTTTATGTGGATGCTTACATTAATTTATTACCACCAAGAACAATCTCAAACTGCTATTCCACAAGTTCACGCGTTTCTAAAACACATAAAAATCACAGGATTATGGTTAAATATAAATACCTGTACAATTTGAAAACTGCAGCAACAAACAGCATTTCAGTTCAAGGATACGGTGCTATTCTGTCCCATTTAACATTCAACATTCCCGACACAATTCCAAAGTCTTCAGGAGGAAAGGAATCATCAGAAAGTTCCACCTCCAGGGCAGCACTAAGGAGACAGAAAGAGGGACACACAAGGGAGGAAATCCCATTTCATTATTGGGGGGCAATAAACTGGGAGATTTCTTAAGAGCATCTTTAGGTATGTAAAGCTACAGTGAATCCAACATTAAATGTGAAGTTAGAACCTTATCAGAGCTGATAAGGACCTTGAAATGTCATGGCTAAGATGTATTTAATAGTCACGTATGATTACAATAATGTCCCTCATTAGTTCCACATCTCTTATATAAAAGGTTTTTAATGTGTTCAATCTGCAGGACCAATAATGACCAGTAAGTGATAAAACACAAACATGTGTTTTAAAAGTGGTCGGTGACTTTTCCTCTTTAAACAAACTGTTGAGCCCCATAGAAATCAAACTAAAATTTAAATGTTTAGATATGAGTTTGGTTTATTCATAGATTCCTGTGGTCAGTGTCACAGATGTAATCTCTTCTTTAACACATTTCAAAATATGTAAGGCTCTAAATAAAGTTTTAATGAGTAACTCTACGTAATAAAATAAAAGGCTGACCCGAGTTCATCTCTGGTCCTCGGTTCCTTGGCCGCATGTCTTTCCCGTGCTTCTTTGTCCCACTTCTGGGTTGGGGAAGTAGGCAACAACCTACTTCCCCAACCCAGGAAGTAGGTTAGAGAAGCAATCCTACAGTTAATTTATTTGTCTAAGCTATTTTTTTAACATCATGTTTGTCTCAACTGTCTGATTATTTACTTTAGTCTTTTCCCAGATAACAAAGTATGAGTGAATCAACGTTGAAATGTGGTTAAGCAGGCAGTCATGCCTGACATTTAAATTATACAAAAAGTGGTCGGTGACTTGCATGTTGAAGCAGTGTTAGGTTTTTAACCACAACTGACACTATATCAATGTTGATTCAACCATTATACTAAATTTGGATCTACATACACATTTTAGTTTATTTCATTTTGAATCAATGTTAGGAATCATCATCTAAATGGTAATCTACATATACATTTGTGTTGATTTTATATCGACTTAAACAGGAATCAATATTGATTCATGCACATTTGACATTAAAATATTAAACTTTACTAAAGCTATTTACTATGTGAAGTCCATTAGAAAAGCTTAGTTTCTCACCAAGGAGTTTCTGCTGACAGGTCTACATCAGAACATTTCAGGTTTCTTCATATAAACTGTGTGCACAATTAGGCAAGTTTTAGTTTTGGCCATATCATCATTTTTATTCATATTTTCCAACTCAAAGCTGCATAAACCTGAATGGTTATTGAATATAAACATATCAGCTGAAGTGTATTTGTTTAATGAGGGAGGGTCCTAAGAAAATCAACACCCTATATCAAGGTGTGAATAATTATTACGCAGCTTCTTTTCCTCAGTCAAAATGAGCCAAAAAAGAAATTTAAGTGATTCTGAAAAGTCCAAAATTGTAAAAAGTCTTTCAAAGGGATGCAGCACTATTGAAATTGCTACGATATATATTCATTTAAGATTATTTGATAGGGACAGACAAACATCGACATAGACACACTGATCAGAAAAGCAATCCCATGTTTGCGTCATCGTGCAATAGCAACAGCTAATTCGCAGCACTTGAACCTAGATGGGCTTTTAAACAGAGATCTTAAAACTAGTAAAAATTGAAGTAATAATCATTTAAAATAGCACAATATAATGTTGACAACATATACATAATCATGCATATAAAACAGTGAAACATAAAACATTAAGTATGGGTACAATTATGTTTTTGACATAACCAGAGTTTTGTTTGCTTTTTGGACATACTAAACCTCGTTACAGACTTTACATTAACAGGAAGTGAGTTCCAAACTGCAGAACTCAGTGACAGAGCACTTTGAGCAAAAGTGGTTCTATGAAAGGGGACCTTACAATTTCCATTAAAAGCCGCTCTAGTAGATCTGCTGTTACCCTGCAGTCTCTGTATGCAATCACTTAATGATTTAGGTACAAGTCTGTTTAAACACTTAAAAATCAAGGTAACACTTTATTTGAAGGGGGGTGAATAAGACTGTCAAGGCACTTTCATAAACATGACATAACACCCGTCATGAACATGAATAAGCCTTCATGAATATTTATGACTGTTGTCATAAAGTGTCATTCGGTAAATTATGACACTTTTAATACAAAGTTGACATTATTCAAAATGACGTTGTTATGACAACTTGACATTAACCAAGAAATCATTACTGATATAATTTTTTTTTAAAAGTATTATTGATTGCACTTTAAAAATTAGGTAACTTTATGTTATTAAAGGTAAAGTTTAAACAGTAATGATTTATTGGTTAATGTCAAGTTGTCATATCAAAGACATTTTGAATAATGTCAACTTTGTATTAAAAGTGTCATAATTTACCGAATGACGCTTTATGACAACAGTCATAAATATTCATGAAGGCTTATTCATGTTCATGACAGGTGTTATGTCATGTTTATGACAGTGTCATGACAGTCTTATTCAACCCCCTTCAAATAAAGTGTTACCAAAATCAATTTTAAAAGGTTATGACTTATGAAACTGGAAAAGTCCAAAATGCCAAATTTAACCAAAATGTGACAGTAATGAAAACTGGCTTTTGATATCAAACCTTTAAGGCCCGATTGAAGAGACTTGCGGTTTGAGTATAATTTGACTAGTTTGAGACCAGACAGGAGCTCCGTAGGGAAAATGTGGGACAATTATTGAGTAAAAGAAAACACCTCTGCACAATGAAGTGTTAGACAATTTCTGACAATTTTAAACAGTTTGTATTTGATCTAACGGTTTTACTGATTTTATCAATATGGCTCCTAAAGTTTAACTGAGCATCCAAAATTATTCCTAAATATTTTTCGTGTGATACTTGTTCAACAGAGTCCCCACTGATCTGGATATGCAAGGACTGTAATGATGTTTTCTTTATACGAATCATTTAGCCATGATGATAATCTCTGCAAGCTAAGTTTTTCATTGACTACAACACTGATTTTGTCCGATGTGTAAACAATGGTGTCATCAGTATACATTTGCAGGTTAACTTCAGGATAAGTTTCAAGAAGACTGTTAATATACAAACTAAAAAGGACAGGACCTAAGATAGTTCCTTGTGAAATCCCCATTTCAATTTTGCAGAAGACAGATTTACTAATGACAACACATTGTTCACGATCTTTCCAATATGACTGAAACCAAGACAATAATCGTTCTGAGAAATTAAATGATGAAAGCTTTGAGATCAGTAAATTGTGATTCACCATATCAAAGGCCTTTTAAAGTCAAGGAAAACTGCACCCGTGATTTGTCCCATCAAGTCACTGTTTAACCTTTTCAAGCAGCAGACTTATAGCAGTCTCTGTGGAATGATTATGTCTGAAGCCAAACTGAAGAGGATGCAGAAGATTGTTACTTTCTAAATACAATAGTGGTTGTTCTAAAATAATTTTCTCCAGCACTTTTGACTTGACCGGAATGAGACTTATTGGCCTATACTTGCTGATTTCATGGGGACTTCCCGATTTCAAAATCGGTTTCACCAAAGGATTTTTCCATGCATTGGAAAATTGCCCTGTTCTGATGGATGTATTAACTATGTGAGTTAAAGGTGTGATCACAGAACCATCAAACATTTTGCTGCAAATACTCAACAGGGTCACAAGAAACATGTTGAGAGAAAAAGATGCAAATTAACTGCCAAAGACTTGAGAAGAGTCAAATGTGAAGCTACCAGGAACTGGGAACTGGGAACAGCACTGGGAGACATCATCTCCCAGTGCTGTTATATTCTGGAACTGCAACCTACCTGGAGTTCCAGAAGTACAAGATGTTCAGAGTGCAGAGACAAGGCCAAGGTAAGGAAGGCTGAAACCCAACTACCACTGAACAAGACACATTGTTCAAACGTCAAAACTGGGCCAAGACAGATCTGAAGACAGATTTGTCAAAAGTTTTATAGACTGATGAGATGAGAATGACTCGTGATGGACCAGATGGATGGGCCTGTGGCTGCATGAGTAATGGGCACAGAGTTGCACTTTGCATCAGACACCAGCAAGGGAGAGGCAGGTATGGGCTGGTATCAAAAATGAGCTAGTTGGACCTTTTCACGTAGAACATGGACTCAAAATCAACTCTCAAACCTACTGCCAGTTTTTAGAGGACAGTTTCTTCAAGCAGTGGTTCTTCAATCATTGTTCAGCCCTGGTTCGTTCTAGTAGTAGCTGATTATTCTGGAGGCCTATATGAGTATTTTAATTAAGCTTAATAAAGAGAGAAGAATACTACAACAGTCATAGGTGGGGGCTTAACCGCAGAGCGGTTTTATGTCTAGCAACAACCATGCACTGACCTGGAGCCCACATTGTAGATGTTGTACTGCAGGGTGAGGTCTCGGCCCTCCACAGCGTAGCGGTTCAGCAGGGACTTGGAGGCTAGAAGCCGTGCGCCCTCCTCTCCGGCAGTCAGCGCGAGAACCACCAGCAGCACACACACACGCGGCATCATGGTCATCTTGGAGCAAGTTACAGCCTACCGTAGAAAGACAGTTTCTTCTGAAACGTCAGGGTAGCTTAGAAACAATAGACTAGAATGACTGTTAAACAGATTGCTCAAGAAAAAAAAAACCGAAAAACGAGCAGCTGGAATATTTGATAAAAAAAAACTGATGCTGCTATATTTCCAGACAAAACAGCAAACTCTAAATCTTATATTAGACGTCTTAAACATCAAAGTGAAACGCTTACGTGGACCAACCAGTGTGGTAACAACCATAAGCATTAAAACTCCTATTCTTTAAATAAACTGATTATATTGCTAAATACAGATTTAGTTTAGTAAACATTTTATTTCCTAACCTACAAAACAACCCAAACAACTTAAAGACTGACTGTTACCGTGACTGTTTTCCTTCCAGCAGAACCGAAGTAGCGAGCGTGGCACAGACTGAGAGATCAGAACATGACGTGTTCCTTAAAGAAGGAAGTTACCAGGGCAGGCTGCAGCGCCTCTGCTGTTTAGGCGGTGGAAATGCGCAAGCGAATTGGAAAGACTATATTTCCTGAACTAATCAAAGGGAGTAAATCTCATCTCATTATTGGGAGGGAACATAAACAGGGGAATTTCTTAAGAACAATTTTGGAGGGTAGGCAAAGTTACAGAAAAATTTAACGTAAAATGTGGTTTACAAAGTTCTTAATGTGTTCAAGCTGCATGACCAAAAATAACTAGTTGTAATTGGAGGCACTGCCAGGAATCGTTAGACTCCTGAAAAAAACATTTGTTTGGGCCCCCCTGCGCAGCTGTTGTTACAATTTTTTGAGTCTATTTGACCCATAAAAAGCATCACAATTTTAAAGGCCTGCATCTGCCTTGCTTTCTTTGGTTCAATACTGATAATTAGCACAATATTTACTGCTCATTAATTTAACATCCAACAGTCCACATCTAGTATGCAAGTAGGTTGCTTAAATTTTTTTCTATTAGTTTTAGATTACTGAAATGTCTCCCCATGAGCAACAGTCAAAAACAATGTGCAACTACACATGAAGCAATCCAGACTTCTCAAAAATGCTTTGTAGTTGCATTTTATTCAAGCTGCAGTACATAACTTTAATAAAAAATATGTTTTCTCCATATTTGTTAAAGCTGTCACAATGTCGTAGCAGTTTGTTATGAGACAGTTAATCTGTGAAAACGATCAATCTCCTTCATCTCCTTCTTGAATTACTTTTACTGGTTTAAGTAATGCACCTTCTGACCAAAACAGCCAATCAGAACTAGTAGGACGTTCTTAGCACTGTGAATTAGCCTCATTCACTCACTACTAAATGCGCTAATGGTGGAGAAACAACTTATTACAAGAAACCGTTTAACTGCCATCATTGGTAGCGATGCTAACTAAACTGAGCATTCACAGTTTGAATCTGCACAGCTCTGTGCTATGCTAACTACAGCACAGCACAAATCGAGGGGGAGGAAGAATGAGCAGCAGTCAAAAGCAATGTGCAACTACACATGAAGCAATCCAGACTTCTCAAAAATGCTTTGTAGTTGTGTAACCCAGGTTGAAATAGCCTCTTCATAAAAATAATAGTAAATTAGATAAATAGGAAATAAATAAATAAATAGGAGAATAAATAGGGAATTAATCGATCTTAAAATTGTTAAAAATATATATAAAAAGAGCAACAATTAGAGACATTAAAATTGCTGTATTTTGATTTTTTTATATATTTTAATTGATTAGAGAAACTCTATAAACCAGTTTTGCTTCGTCAGCGAACTCTTATTCTGAAGGGTTACATTAATGTATAATCCATGTGACTAGTTTCAGCCAATCGGGTTGCTGCGTTCTCTGACGTGAGAGAGAGAAGAAGCAGAGAGTGCAGAAGCAAACGAGATTGTGCTGGGGAAAAACAAAAGAGACAGATAAGAGAAATTGACCACTCGTTGCTGACTTGCTGTCTAAGACGAGTTTTTTTTTTGTTTTGTTTTGTTTTATTTCTTGAGAAGGAGCTTTTCGCATTATTTTTTTTACCTCACCCTGACTGCGTTCGGGATCATCTTTTGTGTGTTGTGGAACTGGACTTGGTGAGTTGAAAGTGTATTTTGTTCTTTTGGGGTTTTTTTTTAGATAATGTATTTGTTAAACATTTATTTAATTTAAATGGAAAGCTGAAGCGGAGGCTGATCAGCGGAGGCGTTGGCTGTTGCTCTTGGTGCTAACAGCAAGCCAACTGAAAGTCAACAGGAGTAACAGCTGATCCGCTGAAGCTAACAGCTGCTCCTTTCAACAGAAATTCAACGGCTTATCAGCAGAGGAGCTAACTGTTGCTAACTGTCACTCTTTGTTGGCAACAGGCTTTTTTTTTTGTGTTTTGTTTTGTTTTGTTTGTCGTTTTCGTTCGGCTGGGATCTGGACTAAGGAGTCTCGGATCGTCACTGAACTGGATCTTCCTAAGGAGAACGAGATGGCGAGCCAACCCGGGAGCTTAATGACCATCCAGTAGGAGCTACGCCTTCTGCTGGACATTGCCAACCCCGCATCTTGGTATGACCCACCTATGTTGTCGTGCGCATTAGCAGTGGGTCACTGAAACAGAATTAACTGTTGGATCATCGGAGGAAACAAGACATCAATCTGAAGCACAGTTTGACCTGTCCTTGCTGAATTGTTCTGCTGTGTTGTTGTTTTGCTGTTATTGTTTTTTTTTTAACTCCTTAAGGGAAACACCAAAGAACTAAAATAGATTAAACAGATTAGAACAAACTGTAAAGCTGCAGTATGTCACTTTTTTTATCAATATTTTTTAAAACTGCCATGTTGTGACAGTATGGTATGAGAGCTAGTAATTTGTAGCTAAGCTAACTATGCTAAATGTTTAATAATCTCAGTCTACTCACCTCTCATAGAGAAAAACTGGGTTATAAATTAACTCTTGCCTTTTTCTCTCTCTCCCTCTCTTTTTTGTTTTTGAAAAGCTGATTTTATAACTTTTCTTAGCAGCATAGTAACTACCACAATCGTTCCTGTCTTCCACTGTCTGCAGCTGAAAGGCGTTATGGTGAAGCGCTCCAAGCAAGAACGAACCATTTAACGCAGATAGGGGGGTGTTCAGGGCAAACATGCCCTAGTAAAAAAAAAAAAAGAAAAAAAAGTATACTTTAGTATATTAAATTTTAACATACTTTAGCATACTTTGATTAATGTACTTAAACTGTGCTATTTTGGAACAACATTTTTGTGCTTAGTATATTTTAATAGTATTTAAATAGTATTAATTTACAATTTTTAATATACTTTGTATACTTCAATGTACTTTTTGGAACAACTTCAAGAAGTACTTGGTATACTTTTTTATGTAGTATTCTAGAGCTTGATTATTATATTTTGAGCGTACTAGTTAAGTCATAGAATTATATTAAATATACTTTTAATATACTACTAATATATTATTAATGTATTTAAATTACACTTAATTTTATTTTTGATTTACTGCTACTGCTAATAAAGTACAATTTTAATTGCTCATAAAAGTCTTTTTATTCCTACTTTCCTATTTTGTTCATTACATGTGTAACTACACTACAGAACTTACATTGTTTTAGGCTACAATTACATGGAAAGATTAATTACACAAGATGTTCAAGGTAATTCAAATTTTTGTTTTATTACCAACATTTTAAAATTGTCCAATTTTACTCACAACTCTATAAACGTTACATAAATTATCAGTTAACAAGTCAGAAGTGAACACAATGAACATGAAAATTTAAGTGTGACAAAAACAAATTTATTACTTTAAAGAAAAATAAAATATTTTAAAATTCAAAAACAGAGAATTAAAATAGAAGAACATTTTAATGTGAACATCTAATTTCTATTTATTTTATTTTTTTTAAATTAAATGTTCGTTGTTACATTTGCGACGGATAGCTACGCGCACCTCCGAAGCTGTAAAATTAGGATATTCCAGTAGAGCAGCATCTGCAGAACAGAACAAAAACATTTTCATC